CTCTCTCTCTCTCTCTCTCTCTCTCTCTCTCTCTCTCTCTCTCATTATAACACACTTTCTCTTTATTTCAATCATTTCCTAATCTCTTATCAGATTAATTTTTCTAATCATTCATCCACTTCTTAGAAAATCTTTAAGATATTTATCTAGGTGTCAATTACATTTTTCTGAGAAACTTATTCAATAAACTATTTTTATATTAATGTTGAATAAAAAAATAAACGTGTAGGTTTAAAATTCAATCGCTTATTAATTTTAAAGATTCTGTAATATTTCAGTGTAAATGTTTTTACGGTGATTTATTTATAATAATACTTCAAGAATAAAACCGAATTTGTTATTTTATTCAATAAGTCATACTTTAATCTGACTGCAAAACATTTCACAGTATATTTAGGGAATAGTTTTCAAATAACATGAATTTATGTAAAAATATGTGACTTCTTATAGCTATAAAGATAACATGTCTCTAAATTGCAGAATCCAACAGTTTTTCTGATGAATTATTCAATGTATTCAAAAAATGTTTTGATCGATATATTTGTTTCTCAAATTATGCTTATTATTTATGTCTAGTAAAAATATTTCAAAAATAACTAAAATTGCAGAATCCAACAGTTTTTCTGATGAATTATTCAATGTATTCAAAAAATGTTTTGATCGATATATTTGTTTCTCAAATTATGCTTATTATTTATGTCTAGTAAAAATATTTCAAAAATAACTCATACTATTCATATAACTATTCAGTTATTTTGTAGTAATTGCTATTTTAATTAAAACCTTTAAACCACATCTTAATTATTATATAAATATAAATGTCTTCATTTGTACGATACTATAGAAAAGTCTTCAATAAAACATTAATTTATTATTATTTTAACTATTTTTAAAAATAATTTTATATAAAGTTCCAAAATTTTCTAAGTCAATAAAGTTAATATTAACAAAATTTATTTAAAAAGTATTTATATTAAAATAAACATACTATTGATAGTAACACAAAATAAACTTTCTGATAGACATCCTGTGGCTAGTCTATGCTATAAAGTAAAACAATTTTTATTTTGTTGGGAAATGTAGTGGGACTTTAGTTAACGATAATAGACATCTATAAACCTCAAGATAAGGTGTGCATGTCATATGAGTTAGACATCAAACTCACTACAAATAACAGGGATTTCCAAATACTTACTGTACTGGGAATAAACGGACACATTGTCAACACTCACACCAAACTAAATAAGTCCTCAAAATGTTCAAAAATCCATTGTTTGATAATTTTAATAGTGGATAGCGGTCACAAAAATACGAGAGAGAGAGAGAGAGAGAGAGAGAGAGAGAGAGAGAGAGAGATTTTGAGCTAAAATCTCTAAAGAATAACGAACTCCACTAATAAAGACCCTCATACTATAACAATCACTTTTCAAACTCTGTATTTTATCGCAAACTTTATATCCTTCACTT